AAGATGTTCCCCGAAGTTGCACTCTACTGGAATAAGCTGGATCCCCAAGCAAAAGAACCTTTACCACAACTTGAGCTCATTTCACCTCCCCAAAAAGACTAAATAACATCGGTGAGCTCACCTTAAAAGACATTCTGCGGATCACCATGCACAAGCTGTCAGCCATGGGAGTCTGTCCGGTGTGACCAACCAACAACAACCAACAACAACCAACAACAACCAACAACAACCAGCAGCAAGCACAAACAACCGCAAACAACCACCTACAACCAACAACAAACAGCAACAAGCAGCAACAAGCAACAACAGGCAACAGCAAACAACAAACAACAACAACCAACAACCCACGATGCTGGACCCCCGCCGGCCAAGAGACCGATCCGGTGACCTCATGCCAAAACACCCCGCCTTGAGGCCCAGTCGAAAGCCCTCCGCGCACTTCCGGCGCCAGGTCTGCACCGTCTCCAAGGAGGGCACGCCTCAGCCCGGCTCAGCCGTTTTGATTGCGAGTCAGTTGTCCGCGTTGCTTTTCAAACTTCGAGGGTCTCAAAACACCCTTTGGGAACAGCCAAACAACCAACAAACGGGCCAAGCCAAGCCAACAAAAACGAACAACTCTAGGGGTACCTTCCCATTCTGAACCCAGGGATCCTTCATTTCAGGAAGCCATTTAAACCCAAAAGAAACGGATCCGGTTTTTGAAAAGGATGGTTGAGAATGGAAGAGGAAAATCAACCTCTAGACCTATGGAAGTTGAAAACCTAAACCAGAAAGTTGAAACCGGGACATCGGCCAGATCCGCTGGTTGAAGTTGGACACCTCTCGGAAACCCAGCTGGAAGGCCGGGGGGAAAAAACACGAGCAGCACCTGGCTAACTTTCTTGGGTTTTAGGTCCGTTGTTGAGGGTCTTTGATGGGAACTAACCAGTTGGAAACCCCCAGCGAAACCTTCCAAAACTCCTCAGCCTGTCTGAGGCTCGCTTCCCGGGGATTGGTTTGGGTGACGAAAACATACCCCGATCAGCACACGGGGCCAAAGAAAACCAAGCTGGACCAAGTGAAAGTCTTGGGCCAAGCCTATAGGGACCTATAGGGACTTCTTTGGGTGGTTTCGGGGTTTGATACCCTGCGCAGCCGTATAGAATCAACTGACCTTGGCTGTCATAGCATGGCTTATCAGGGTCTCTTCTGGGCTTTGCCATTTTCCCCATCTCACCAGGTAGTAGGTTTTGGCTTTTTGGGCGCTGCTCTAGTGGTTTGGATTAGCTGTTGGGAACTCAGGCTTGGCTCGGATTCAGCATGAATTGGAAGCTGTGTTTGTCTTGGGCTGGAGGCTATGCCGCATGTTGGAGTGCCATTTTTGGAGCGAAGGCGCAGGCTTTTTTGGAGTTGCTTCTGAGAGACCACGACAGTGGGAGCTATATTTGTGCATTCGGAGCCCAGGAATCCTTCTTCACCTGACAAAAATCGAAGGGACCACCATGTTTTTTGCGAAGACCGATGCTAAGGAATGGAGAGGGAGACAACCAGAACTAGCTCCATGATCATTTCTTCCTCCAAATGGCTAGGGAAGCAGCAGCAGAAGAAAGCCTGGAAACTCTAAAAAAAGTCACTTTGGCTGAGCCAAAGCCCTTAAGTATAGTTTTTCTTGTACCGGCAACATCATTCCTATGCGCTGAAGGAAGACATGATCTCCTCGGTTTCAGAAATTGCTCAGCTGTATCTCGGGTTGGACACTTGTCAAAAGTCGTAAAGTGGCTTGGCCAAGGCACCGTGTTGAACATGGGCTCTGGGGAAGAACAACCAACAGTGGGGCTTTTTGGGATTGAATTTTAAGGTACGCTTTGGTGGACATCAAGGTCTGTCCACTAAACACTTTGGAGTCCCCATTCAAATTCATAGCCATGGACCCAACAGCCCTTGGAGTCGAGCCGTAGAAACTGGAATTCACCTCCACCGCCCAGAAGGTTTCTTGGTACAGCACCTGGGGCGAATCCGAGGGCCAACTGGCAACAATCGGCGAGGTGAAGCAGGGGAGAACCCCTTATTGGCGGAAAACCACCTGAAATCTGTGATACAAAGGTAAACGTTTCCATACCACATGACTTTGTCTTTTGTAATTCCTTTGGTATCACAGAACCGCACCGAACAAGTGCCAAGCACGGACCCAGCTGGAACGCCTGGAACGCCTAGGCTGAGGCGTGTCTCGACCTCGGGAAGAGAAACATGTTTAACACCCCTGACAAGGATTCGGATTGAGGGAGCCAAGGCCATTACCCAAGTGAGGAGCTGTTGAAGATGCGTATCTGCCAGGAAAGGCCACGCCAGGCCTCTTTGGCATGTTGTTGTATTTCTTTTTCGGGAGGACTTGCTTGGGGGTGAACAAAAACCGCAAGGACGCATTTTGGAGACAGGACAGATTCAGGATTCCGATGCAACTTCCAACGTCCCCCCCCAGGAAGCTCACTTCAAGTTGGCAACCACAATTGGAAATCGAGTTGGGCGCCTTAAGGAGAAAACAACAAACACATTATATGGGCATGTTTCTTGGAGGGTCCGCCTTTTCGACACTTGTCCACATTGAATCCCCATCCCTGAGCTGGAATCCTCGCTCTTTGGAAGAAGGAAAATAGGGATGGGTCTCAAAATGGCGGACCCCCTGTCCCTTTCGGATGGTAAGGGAAGCCAAAAGGGCACCAGCCATTTGTTTGGGGGTCGCCCTATCTTGAGAAGCACCCAAATAGCCTCACTCCCTAATTGATGCTTGGGAAGGTCAATTTAGTGGCAAACAACAATTCCGACTTTTTTGGCCAATCCACATGTGAGTTGAAAGCCAGACTCTCTTGTATGGAGTCCAACCTGTATTGGGACGAAATGCCAGTATTGTCATATATATATATATAATACACATAAAATTCATATCTGTATGTGTATATATATATACACATACGTATTTGAACGGGCGCATGCAGGGCTTCAAGAAAAGGAGCCCTTTCCCACACATGTTCCCAGACTGGGTACAAGGGAAATGCTGCCAAAAGTTGGCTCCCCACTGTTCACCGGTGTGCAATTATCGGAAAAGGATCCCTCAGAATGGGAGGGCACGGCTACACTGTGTTTTCCCAATCAAAGTCTGAATTGGCATTTCGGAAATTGCAACCATCGACCCCCGGACCCAGGAACAACCCGCACGTCCAAGGGCTTTTTGGGATTCCATATTACCTCCAGGGGTTGTCAAGCCGCCCCACAAATTTCCAGAGCCACAAGAGCCATGGCAAGGTGGCCCCTCACTGGTCACTAGTTCGGCTGCAGTGGCTTTTATAGCTCTGCAAATGAAAAGCGCGGAAGATGCCCCAAGCTTTGTTTCGCCAAACCACATGGAAGGCACCTTTGAACATGTATTGAGCGGGGCTAGATGCATGTTCGGAGTCCCATGTGGGCAGCCAACTGGGATAAAGTAAGCAAATCAAAAGGACAGCCGCAGCCAGTTTTGGGCTTTCCCCATTTTGACACATGGAGTTGTCGTTGGGGTGTTTTTTGTCCGGAGGAAATCCAGCGGATTTCCTCTTCGGAAGTTACGATTTTCTGTCGGCTCCCCTTGAAACGATCGCCACTTTTGGAGGTTCCAAGGGACATGGAGGAAAAAACAGTGTGATCTCGGTTGCTTTCTGCTCCCCTGCCAAAAGCTTAACTTTTCGTGGTTTAGTACTGAAAACCCATTAGTTGGCAAACAGTTAAAGTCCTAACATTCCTTGGCAAAATGCACCAAAGTGATACCATCCCGGCGACCCCAGTCCACCTCCTTCACTTCGTGACCTCTGACCCGCCGGAGGCGCCAGTAGGTCGCCCTTGCCGAAGAACTGGGTCCAGTGGGGGCAGGAGAAGCCCGCGGTGCCCACAAACAGCGGCCCCAGCGCTTCGCTGCGCTCGGCCATGGCGGCACTAGCGGGTGGGGGGAAGCAAAGGGGTCTGTTGTATTGGGAAGGGGGTGGGAGGTGAAAGACATGGGGTTAAAGGTTGGACCCTTCAACATGTGTAACATAAGGGTCTATATCAAAAAACAGAGCAGGTTTACTCAATTCAGTCTGATCACAGCGCAAACATGTGCACTTATCTAGGCCCTTACATTGGGTTGGATCGTCCTTGAGAGGCTCCGGATGTCTGCCCCGCTCAGCCCGTTGTGTTCGGCACCTTTCTGCTGCGAGGGGCGCGAGAAACCTGAGCTGAGGGAATGATCCGGCGGAGTGCCACGGTTGAGCCCAAAGAAATCTGGGTACTTGTTTGGACAGAAAGTGGGTGGCTGGGGGGGTTTTCATGTGGGGTTCAAGACCACGAAAACAACACATTCACGGATACCTGACTGATTCTAGGTCCTCCATTAGAGAGCTTAGAATAAGGGTACCGCTTTTTTTCAGTAGTCTATTTTTGCAGGGGAACCCTTGCGCAAAAAAGTTGGTAAAAGGGCACTACTGGCAGACCTAGTCAACCGAATCCCTGCCTTTAGTTCGACGTTGAAAAGCTGGCGGCGCAGGGGGGATTTGACGAATGCCAAGATTATTTGATGCGTGGCAACACAATAAACTGCAACGTCCGGCCGCTGGAAATCCAGCCAAGACCTGGATTGAATACAACGCCAACTCTTTTTGCTTACTTGAAAGTCTTAGCGCCTTGACTCAAACACGACTGTAAAACCAAAAGGGTCCAAAAGCTTGATTCGCACCAAGCGAGTGGGAGCGTCAAATAATGGCCAACGCTTGCCGAGCGGACAGAATCTCTCGGCTCAACCTGATGCATGAATCCCACAAGTCGAAGCTAACTTCGGGATGCCAATCCAACCCAAAACGAATTTACGTCTAAGCCGCAGGGACTGCCAAATGTTCTTTGCATGTCTTTTTTTGGATGGTCCCTGTTTCTGGGTGGCTTTGTAACGGAAAAAGGCAAAACAACATCCTTTGGGGGTCCCAAGTCGAACGGCAAGCAACGGCCTTTACATCCCCGGCCTCTCTGGGTGTCTCCTACCGGATCCGGATAGGCAGGCGGGGAGGTTCGAAGGACTGTATTCTCTTGTACAGGTAGCCCCTTTGGGGCAAAACAAGTTGTCAAGTGGCTCTCCTTGGCTCTGGCCAAGCTTTGGACACTTTAACCCTACAATTCGCGGAGGCAAATAGCTTGAGGAGTTTTCTTCGACCCATCTAAAAAAAACCAAAACAAGGGTTGCAGGCTCCCTGGTAGGGTTTTCTGTTGAAGATCCCACCTCTCTTGGGTGCATGCATTCTTTTTGGGCAAAACTCCCTCGGGGTGGTCTGAGGGAATCAACTGAAAAGCACCTACCTTTGGGGGGGTGGGGTGTCAGGGGGGCCTCTGCGTGTTTTAGACGCGCCCGTTTCTCAGTTCCCCGATGTCCGAACTCCGCCAAAGCAACTCCTCAAAGTGGTCCATGCTCGATACCCTTTGGTAGTTTTGCACGCCGGCATCGCTTGGGCTGCATTCCTGTGAACCTTGTCAATGGAGAAACCCCGTGCCAAACAGAGCATATGGGAATGAAATTCGATTTGGTGACCCTTTCGTGGACTTTCTGGAAAGGATTCACATCCCACCAACCCCTTCCCCGCTGACCCAACAAGAAATCAGTATGAGGTACAAACGGAATTCTCGCGGCTTTCGCATGTGTCGGAGACCCGACGCCATCTTCCCAAAAAGATCATGGGAATGTGGTGTTTGCTTTGGCAAGCTCGAGCGGGCCACCCAAACTAGTCACTTGCCCAAGGACTCCAGAAATAGCTAGAAGGCAACTTTAGAATCCTCGGTGGCGAGAAGCTTTGCTTTTGGCAGCCTAGAAGTTGGCTTGGTGAGGAATTCGTGCGTATCCCCTGAAATGGTTTGCCGGCTTTCTTGCTGTTTTCCTCGTGACACAAATTTTCGCTCATGTTGGACGTGCCTCGGAAAGTCAGCCCAGTGAACAAAGAGTGGACCCATTGCCAGAAGGGAAGCGAAGAAATAAGATTCACTCCAAACTTCCTGGACCCTAATCAAACTTTCAAAGGGTTTCATCATATGGCCATGGGTCAAAACCCCGTACCCCCCAGTGAACATCCCAATCCCCACTAAAATCGACTAAACTGGGTGGTGCACCTATCCCAAAATGGTACCATTGGTTTTGACCCACAGCCATATCTCTAAGGCTTGACTCCCCTTTTTGAACCCTGTGGCGATTTCCGTGGCAAAACAAGCACCTGTGAATTGATCCGGGGAAGTCTCAAGTGACGATACCAGTCTAAGGGCCGATTCCTGGTCCATTCTTTCCAACCAGGATCCGTTTCCCTGGGCTGGTAGCGCTGGAATATCGCGAAGCAAGCCGTTACCCTGGGCTTCGGGCCTTGCTTGAGATAGCCAATGGCTTGACACACGGGATACGGTTGACTCACATCTCCCTGCCAGACCCCCCCAATAAATTACGCAACATGCTAAACCCTGGACCCCGGCGGCCCTGGGATCAAACAACACCTGTTTTGGGGAACCCCAGAAGGCCTACCCCTTTACCCACCCACCCTCCCCCATAGCTTCGGAGCTTGGCGACCTGTCCCCAATCACCAATCCAGACCAAAGCAGCGGGTGTAAAAAACAGCTCATGTCGTAACGAAGCCTGGAAGTCTTTGCGCAGCATGGCTACCCTGATACAGTTACTAACTCATGGAATTGTTGTCCAGCATTTAAACACCACCTTTGCTCGCAAAAAAAATCCACTACTTTTTGTGCTTTCAGCTCGCAAAAACACCCCACCACTTCTAAGTTTCACTTGTGCTTTCAAGGCAAACTCTACTTTTCACTTGTTTTTTTTGAAAACAACAATTAGACCAAACAACTAGACCACAATTAGAACAACATGATTTTCCAAATGATTCCACCGCTTCTCCCCCGCCACTTTCTCCACTTACGCGTCGGCTTGACTCGGCGCCTCTGGCTCGGCGGCCTCGGTCTCAGTGCCTTCGCTTCGGCGAAAAGCGGGGCAAGTGGTGCCACCAGACCCGGGGCACCGGGATATATATATTTTTCGGCCCTCAGCTCAACTCCAGATTTGAGAGGTTAGAATAAGAGTACCAACTTTTGTTCTGTAGTCTATTTTAGAAGGGGCTTGCCCTCCCAACAAAAAAAGTTGGTGAGAAAGGGCACTGGGGGACCTAGCTGGTGAAACAGTTTGGGGGTTCAGATTGGCCTCTCCAAGCTTAGTATTGGTTTGTGTTGGTAAGAAGACGTATGGAAATCAGCAGTTTCGGGGATGGGTGTTGCAGAGATCTTCTGACGTTCTCAAGACTCAGAATGAGCTAGTGGACAAGAAGAGAGATGGGACATACTATACTAAATACTATACTAGGTCCTCCAGTAGAGAGATTAGAATATATGGGTACCCTTTTATCTGTAGTCGGGAACCCTCCCAACCAAAAAAGGGGTAAAAGGGCACCCATGGGCATGGGGGACCTAGATTAGTTCTGTTTGCAAAACAAGACACCCCAGAAGTGCACTTTTTGGTACATGTCGTGCTGTGGTGTTGTCAAAGAAACCCGAACAAACTCGAGAAGACCAAACAAGAACTAGCAACATGCAAGACTATGTCAGCGGTCCTGCCTTGGGGGCAGAATCTTGTTCCATGTTGTTATGTTTGCTTTTGTTTTCTCAGCGTATTTTGGGCGTTCCTCGCTTTCTGGGACACATTTTGGCTCTAGCCGAACAAACGACTGGCAGCTGCCTGGCAACTTTTTCTTGTGGAACGAAAGAGGCCTTTGAGGGAGCCAGCGCATTTAGTTGGTTTGCCTCTAGCTTTGCTGCCAACCTGATAGAGGATTGCCAGAATTCGTCCTTTAAACCAGCGGCCCGAAATCCCGGTTGGTTCACAGTTGCTTTCCTCCAAGCACCAAACAAAAACAGAAGCTCCTGAATCATGAACACATGACTGCCATGTCCTTCCAGAACTCATCCCTGGGGTTCCTGTGGCTATGTTTTACGTGGTCGATAGGTTCGCCGCTGTATATCATGGTCGAGGGGGATTGATCATTTTTTCCCGCCAGGTGCAGCGTTTCTAGCTTTTTGCCCATGTCTTTGCAGGATCTTGAAACTTAGCTAAGGTGATTGCAGGACCACGGGTGCTTTGCAACACTAGACCTTGGAATATTGTAATTGGGTCAACATCTAAATCGATTATGGAGCAGTCGAATTGGATCAACTCTAGCCCTTCCCAGGGCGTCCATTAACTTTGCAGACTATAGGGGTGAGGGTGTGTGGAGAGGGCGAGGGTGCATATTTATACGCAGGTGATGGGCTTCACTAGCTCCTTTTGGGAATCGGGGATGGACCCAGTGGGGAATAGTGGGGATGCACATGTGGAACATCACATGTTTTGAAAGGAATCAGTATATTAATGTATATTATATATTACATATGCAACACACGCCCCATAAATTCCATCCATCCAGGAATACGCATACTTAGACCTTCCGAAGGTACAGTTCTTTTGCCGATTGGTTTTTGAGCTCATTGTTTCGCTGATTCAGAGAAATGACGCCAATTCAAGCAAATACTGCAAATTCAAGCAAAAAACGCCGATGGGGAAATCATAGCTGCTCAGCCCAGGCGAATTTGTGTTGCATATTCACGGCTCTTGGGCCGTGTGCTCTCTCAATGTCTAGACTCTGCAGCGCACACCTACCGTGTAACACAATATTGTTTGCCATACTTGGGCCACGCTAGGGGCCCCATGTTCGACAAAGCTGACTCGAGGCGCTTGAGCATCGACCGCACAATTAGTTAAATGCACGCCTGGAATGCAAACCCTGCAGCTGCAGGGGGCCATAGACGCAGTGGCAGTTCACCATATCATGCAAACAGGGCACCATGTCAAAGGCAGCAATAAACCATTATGCAACATACATCCAGCGCAAAACTATAAAATGCTGCGGTTGGGGCCCAGTTCAAGCCGTGAGCCCTGCCTTGCACTATCACTCATGATGTAAAGTCCATTGCACAAGCTCCATGTCCAAAGATGCCTTGCAGCTCGTGGGCGGAACATCGTTCTTTGCTGCATGGTTTAACTTATATTAGATTCCCAAATCAGAAACCTTGACATATCAGATAAGGCCCATCCTCAAAAAGCGGGCACCGACGCCTTCAAATATGGGTCCGGAACAGATCGCTGATTGGCCGGAAAAGACCGCCGACTGGCTGGAAACGATCGGCGGCTGGCCGGTAAAAAATGCCGATTCGGTTTTTGCTTTTTCCGTTGCTTTTGTTTGGATGCCCGCCTGTAAATTTTCAGAATATGCAAGCGAGCTTTGCAGCCCTCGATTTCTGCGTTTTCTGAAGGTGGCATGCAGTGCTTCGGGCTCAGACTCTGCTGTGAAGTTTATAATTGGAAGCGTGCCTTGAGATCCAGTATTTCCGCGACCAACAAGTTATTGATCAACACATCCATCAAAACCCTGGGTTTTATAAGCAGCCAACGACATTTACTGCAAAGAAGGTCGGTTCACACAGGATGTTCAACAGGCAAAAGCGAAAATGGCGTCTTACTGTACTTGAAGATTAGTGAAGCATCGCATGGTCTTTGAATGTCTTTGTCAGGCAAATTGAATTCCCAGCAATGCCAGCAGCCAATTGTGCCTGCCTGGCCGATCGAACCCTGTCCGATGCTTGTCATGCATGCTGCGTAGCGCTCTCTTGAAGCTGAGAGTATCTCCTTATTGGGGAGTGTGTTGCGCAAAATATTTTGTGACACGAGGCAACATGGATTGCAAACATGTACTGTGACACTTGGCGCTCTTTTGCGGAGCAAGTGGCTGCCTGACGCGAGCTATAAGTCCAACGCAAATTCAGGAAAAGTGCCCACAAAGAGCGAATTGAAAGCAGCGGTGCCAAAAGCCAAAGTTCGATGACACTTTGGCAAGCAATCAAAATGCCGCTCGCCCTCGAACTCTGTCGATTCACAAAATGAAACAGCCAAAATTTGACCCTCCCGCCGAAATCTCCAGGTGTACGAAAAGGGCAAAGGCTTGTTGACAGTATGGAGGGGGCAAGGGTGCAAATGTATGTTGACTGGTTTTGTGCAGCTGGTTTCGCAACCAGTATTGGATGCTGGTGCCAAAATAGATCAACCAATCACCTGTTCTTGGGCCAAGTAGCGTGAGTATGAAACCGGCATGCCGAACAGGTGCTAAAAGTGTTAGCTGATCGATGGGTTCATGAGCGAACAATAATTTGGATTGTGCTTTCCAGCTAGCAGACTAGGTGGCTAGACAATGTAGCGAGAACAGGGCCTTTCGCAAAGCAAGCGCCAAGCTCAAGAGCCTTTCCATATCAATTTTGCCTTGCCAAACGCGTTTGACTTGAAGTTTGACATGGTGTGCGTACAGGCCCTCAAAATGACTTCAAACAGGCTGGTGTGGGAAATGTAGGGGAGGAAGGGGGAGGGGGGAGGCGGAGGGGGTAATGTGATACTTTTTTCGGCGGGGGCATTGTCCGTGAAATCACGCCAATTGTCCGTGAAATCGCGCCAATTGTCCGTGAAATTACGCCAATTGTCCGTGAAATCACGGAATCTACAAAAACACATTTTTCTGCGTTGAACTAAGTGAGTGCGCCCCCGACGGCGCCACCTACAAATGGGAAAAGGAGGCAGGTGTATGACCTTGGGCCGGTGAGAATCGTCAGGCGACTGACGCCTTTGAGGCTTGCGCACAGCTTCATGATACCCGGAGATTTCGGGGTGGGGGGGGGGGGCAATGTGTGGCTGTTTCACTAAAGACATGTGTGTTTTTTGTGAATCGATTGAGTTTGAGGGCGAGCGGCATTTTTGTTGCTTGCAACGTGTCATCAAACTGTGTGGCTTTTGGCACCGCTGCTTTCAATTCGCTCTTTGTGGGCACTTTCCTGAATTTGCGTTGGACTTATAGCTCGCGTCAGGCAGCCTCTTGTTCCGCAAAAGAGCGCCAAGTGCCACAGTACATGTTTGCACTCCATGTTGCCTCGTGCCACATTTTTTTTGCGCAACACACTCCCCAATAAGGAGATACTCTCAGCTTCAAGAGAGCGCTACGCAGCATGCACGACAAGCATCGGACAGGGTTCGACCGGCCAGGCAGGCACAATTGGCTGCTGGCATTGCTGGGATTTCACCTTGCCTGACAAAAACCACGCGATGCTTCACTAATCTTCAAGTAAGAAGCCATTTTCGCTTTTGCCTGTTGAACATCCTGTGTGAACCGACCTTCTTTGCAATAAATGTCGTTGGCTGCTTATAAAACCCAGGGTTTTGATGGGTTTGTTGATCAACAAAAAGTCGGTCGCGGAAATATTGGATCTCATGGCCCGCTTCCATGTAGACTTCACAGCGAAGCCTGAGCCCGAAGCGCTGCGTGCCACCTTCAGGAAACGCAGAAATCGAGGGTGCAAAGCTCGCTTGCATATTCTGAAAATTTACAGGCGGGCACCCAAGCAACGAAAGAGCAAACAAGGATTCGGCAATTGTTACCGGCCAGTTGCCGATCGTTTCCAGCCAGTCGGCGATCTTTGCCGGCCAGTCAGCGATCTGCTCCGGACCCATAATTGAAGACGTCCGTGCCCGCTTTTGAGGACGGGCCTTATCTGATAAGGCAAGATTTCTGATTTGGGAATCCAAGTAAAACCATGCAGCAAAGAGCGATGTTCCGCCCACGAGCTGCAAGGCAAGATATGCCCAAGTAAAGGCTTCTTTGGACATGGAGCTTGTGCAATGGACTTTACATCATGAGTGATAGTGCAGGGCCGGGCTCTCGGCTTGAACTGGGCCCCAACTGCAGCATTTTATAGTTTTGCGCTGCATGTACAAGAAGGGGTATGGGTTCCGAGGCGAATATTCCTAGTGGCGCTGCATGCATGCACTCTGCATAATGTTTTGCTGCTGCTTTTGCCATGGTGCCGTGTATGCAGTGGATTCTGCTGCTTCTATGGCCCCCTGCGGCTGCAGGTGCATTCCAGGCGTGCATTTAACCAATTGTGCGGTCGGTACTCAAGCGCTTCGAGTCAGCTTTATCAAACATGGGGCCCCTAGCGTGGCCCAAGTATGGCAAACAATATTGTGTTACACGGTAGGCGTGCGCAGTGCAGAGTCTAGACATTGAGCGAGCACACAGGCCAAGAGCCGTGAATGTGCAGTGCAAACGCGCTTGGGCTGAGCAGCTATGATGTCCCAATCGGCGTTTTTTGCTTGAATCGGAAGTATTTGCTTGAATTGGCGTCATTTCTCTGAATCGGCGAAAAAAATGAGCTCAAACACCAATCGGCAAAAAAGTGTACCTTCAGCAGGTCCAGGTATGTGGTTTCTGCGAGAATGCCTGCAGGCCCGCGGGCCCGCGGGCTCTCATAGCAACGCTATGAAAGTGCATGCTCCGGAGGTCGCCTTTGCACCTGAAACCGGCCAAGAAAATTGTGAGGCAGGGCCACATTACAAAACATGAGGTTCAAAAGCGGTATGGAGCAGAGTAGATGTTGAACAGTGGCCACCATCCTGCACAGGACCTTTGCTTTCAAGCGAGATCAGGGCATCACAAAGTGAGGGTTTGCCAGGGTGCGCTAAGCACCCAACTGCAACAAAACTGAAAAGTGCGAGGGTGTAGGAAAAGTTTAAACCCATATAATGGAGATATCGGATAATTTGGGTGCTAAACAGGGCTAAGAGTGACTTCATGACGGTTTCTTGCGCGCTCTTTAGTTTCAAGCGAGACCCAAACCATCCGCTTGACCCCAAAAATGACCGAAGTCCTGACCATGGAAAAATCGCGGCGATGCTAAGAAAAAAAAAGGCGACGGTGTATAGAGGGGTCGATCCAGAATAACGGAGACAAATAACCACATGGCCTTGGATCAACATCTAAGTTCGTAAGGACCCTTTGTGCTTGCATCTTGGTGACCACCATGGATCTAACCATCATTGCGCAACAAAACGTGAAAAGGTCCGAAAATGATGAATGTCCTGCTAAAAGTAGCCGGTGCAAAAACATGTGCGTAGACGACAAAAGAGAGTCAAATATGTGAGGAGAGGACGACTGTGTATAACGGAGACGAGGGAAGCCCAGGGCATGTAAAGCTCCTTAACTCCCTCGAAGGCCAGGTTCGATAAACCCAGCTCCCGAACAGCTCCCCTCCAACAACCAGCTATGGGGGCTGAATCAAGATGATATTCCCCACATGGGAAAAGCTACCCATGGTCATTTGAAAGACGAACCAAGTATGGAGCAACCCCCAAATGTGATCAACCAAAACGGCCCTTTGGCCCAACACCCACCAGAGCCAAACTGCCAGGCCTGCGTGACCTGTCAGCAGACCCTCTTCGTGCCTGGGGATTGGAAGTGGACCCACGGCTTCTCAACATCTTTGCCCTAAACCTGTCTTTTTTGTTTAACACCTGGATGTCTTCCTTTTTCATTTTTCGGAATACTATTGTTCCTTTGTTCCTCTCCTTCTTTCCATGGTTCATTTCAGTTTGGTGGAGCCAAAAGTCGACCCAAGGAAAGGAAGCCCTGAACAAGTGGAGGTGTGATCGGGCAGGCCGACACCCCCATTCAACAAAGTCAAAAAGAGCCCGGAGACTTTTTCGCACAAGGATCCTTCGGAAGGGAAACCAAAGGAGCAGGTTGATCAAGTGGGGTCTCTAAATAGGGGCACCCACAACATGTTTGCAAGATGAAGCTTCGTTCGAGCCACAGGAAATGACATTTGGAGTCGCCACTTCCGTCTTTGAAGAAATATGGGTGACCCGTCAGCCCCTTGTTGCAGCCTGAGTTTGAGTTCATCTGGCTCAAAACTTAAAACACTCAGACTTTAGCTGTCGCCCTGCTGCTAATGTTTCACCCCCTTTTAGATTCTGGTTTTATCGAGTGCCGCCGTTTGAGAGGAGGGGGATCGAATTCACTCTGGCCGATCTTTCCAAATCACAGGACCCCGAAAATGGATTCCGAAAAACGAGGAGCCCCAAATGGATTTTGGGTTTCCCTTTTTTCCGACAGCCACTGACCCCGACCGAGGCTCCAGCTCCTCCTCCGCACCCTGGCTCAAACTTGGCCATGGTTTACTCGATTGCCTGTTTTTTTGTTTGTGGCTTTCGATTTCCTCTGGATGTCCCTCTAAAGCCACAAACAAGGGTACCCACAATAGAGAGTCTGGAACATACTTTGAGCTATCCATCCCCTTTTGGTGTCAAAAAACGGGGTAGAGGGCAGAGCATAAACACATATCTCATCCTTCCATTGGGGGAAATGAACAGTTGTGTGCCAGTTCTCACCCAGGTTGAAAATCCCTCTTTCCGTGACACCAACATGGGTTCTCTTGCTTTCTGCGTCACGGGGATTTCCTGTTTAATATGTTGGCCTTAGACTCTCTAACAAGTGAAACTGTTTGCTTCATGCTTCTGGATGCAAAACGGGTAACGCAACTATCCATCTCTTTCGGTTTCCTTCGGGGAAAAGTCACCACGTTGGCGATTGGCACCGGCCATTTTCCAACAGGTACAAAACCCCCAAGGGGTTGACGACCATACCTGCCAGCCCCAAGTAGGCAGGTCGATTGACCGTGGCACGATGTCATTTGTGCCGGCTCTCTTTTTGGGATGGTTTTCATGGAAGACCAACGGGACACCCCCACAACCCTCAAAAGGAAGTCCTTGGGGAGAATTTCCGCGCTCCCAGCTGCAAAGAAAAGGATCCCGATCTGGTTGCGCGTTTAGCCAACAAATGTCGGAACTTTCAAGTCCATTTTGGGGGCCACAATTTTGAGACAACCCCATCTGGCCTACTGAACCTGTCCTATACATCTAGCCCCTCCCCCCAAAAATTATCTAGGATGGGTCTTGTCTTCTCTCATCACATTCATTGCTAGTGACTCTGCTAGTGATGGGAATGTTTTGCTTGGTGACCCCCACTCAAAGGGTGAACCGGCTTAGAGGCGGTCATGCTTTTTGGTCCCAGCATTCTCATCAAAATCTGCCATCATAGCATTGTGGGCTTCGCCTTTGCTCCAGGGACGGAGAAGCCAAGGTTGAGAAGGGTAACTCACCTAGTTTCCCGGTCAGCCGAACAAGCGGCAACCCTGGAATCTTTAGAAACTCAAGCGGATGCCTTTTCCGACCCGTTCTTCAGGTTTTGGGAACGGATCCTCTGAAGCCCTCGATTCTCACGCGTCGAGAGAGCTGGACTTCCCCGGCTCTGGGCGGTTTTTCCGCCTCTCACTTGGCTCCTGGAGAACGCGCTCGCTCCGTGCGACGTCTGCGGGGCGTCCACCTGCCGTCTGCGTCACGCGGGGCGCCTCCGCGTGGGCGCCGTGAGCTGCAGCCGCGACGCGTCAATCGGCACAAACGCATCCCAAGTCATGAAGCTGGCACATGCCCTAACTCAAGCAAGCAGATTTTGGGATGCGAGGGGCCACCTCTGTACCGCTGGGCCTTTGTTAAACTGGTAAAGACACCAATCAACAACTGCCATGTGCTTAAGACACCAAACAAAACAGAAGATCTATCAGTCATGAGCATTTTCCTCTAGTACCAACTAGAACAAAAAGGAATCGCCTTTATGCGTGTGGGGCACGGTCAGACTGTTTTTTGCTATCTCAAAAACGGGCATCCCTTTTCTTTTCAATTTCTGCCATGTGAGTCTGAAATGTCATTAGATGGGTCCTGACTAAGACCCCCGGAAAGACAATTTGCTAGCAGGGCACCAACCATGTCTTGCAGTATCCCACATCGAACACGTGTCAACATGTTGGGCTTTCTCGAGCCTTCCAAAGGGTTGCACGCTGATACCAAGGTGACCCATTCCCAGAACTAGCATATCTCTTGACAGCAATGGTATCACAAACAGTGGCAACCCAAACGACCAAATTGCTATATGGACTTAAGTACTTCCCCTAAGACATAGCTGTTCATCCCCGCCACTACGATTCCGAGGCGTGCATTTGTTGGATTACCGCCCCGCCCAACTCGTCGTGGGCCGAAAAACCCAGAGGCACTGCACAGAAATGATGATGGTTTCTGCGATCGGGACAGAGGCCGCGAAGCATTCAGGCCTCGAAATATATATATATATATATATATATATAATATTTCTTCAACACATCACCAAGATCACCTGGAAACTCACCGAAAGCCAAGATTCTGAGGGTTGGAAATTCAATGTCCGTTTCACCCATGTAATCCACCCATTTCCGGTCTTTGAACGATTCGAAGAGATTCGGATCCCTGAGCAGAACGGGGACTGCCGCTTTGCTTTCCCAAGGGATGGGATTCAATTGTGTGTCGAAACGGGCGACCCCGAAAATGTTGCCAGTTCGGTTCCCTTTTGGTTTCCCTTACCAAGCTGAAAAGGCGACCCTCCAACACAGAAACACAACCACACATGCGCACAAACACAAGCACAAACACAAACACAAACACACACAAGCACAAACAGCGACACACACACACACACACATAAACACACGCACACACACAAACACAAACACAAACACAAACATGTATTTGCTGTTTTTGTATCTTTCAACCTCTCCTCGATTTTCCCCAAACTCCTCTCTGTGCCTCCTCCGCTGGCATCGCTATACTCGTCGGACGCAACGGCCAGGAATCCACACTTCGGAGAAAGCGGTGGAACACTCAAATGGATGTTTGATGTTTTCGTGTCTACCATTTTTTTGGGGTGGTTAGTTGGTCAATGCAGATGTTTGTGTGTGTGTGTGTGCGGTTTTTGCGGGTACCATTTTTTGTTGGTTAGTCAGTAAATGGAGATGTTTGTGCGTGTCTTGTTGTGCGGGTACCATTTTTTGGTTGGTTAGTTGGTTCAGAGGATATTGCTTGAACCCAAAGTAGCACATGAACCCCCACCGTGTTTGACTTGCTTGACCGATTGGGGCTGAGGCCAGAAACCAAACGGAAGCCAATCTTGAAGGGGATTTTTAAGACACACCGAAATCGGAGTCCACTTGGTCCACTTGGCCCCATGCCCCGACCAAGAACCAAGTGTTCCACGCCGCAATGGCAAGCACCGCTGGATGTGTCTCATGGGGTCTGGATTGGACACTTGAAATAGATGATCCCTTGGCTCTGTCAAATAGCATTTTGCCTCGCCCAATGTTGATACTTCAAAGGTCATCCGTCTCTCATTGTGAAACGCCAAAGGTCATCCATCTCCCCTTCTTTTCACGTGAGAATGACTAGACGTGGTACACCAAATTATGGAAAACTTCTGTCCCTTCGCGGCTGCGCGTGAAAACAGGGTTCCGCTTGTTGGCTACCCCAAGATAGACTTAAACCCAGGAGTTCTCCTTTTTAAGTCTACCAAACCTGGGTTTAAGTCTACCCTGAAGTCAAAAAGTGGAGCCCTGCGTGAGAATCTTGCCGAGTGCTTCTCGCATCCAGAATTTGCCACTAAGCTCTGCGGAGTTTCGAACGGCGGCCGGCGGATGCATCCAATGGACTCCCCCTGAAACGAGTGTCAGGGACGGCTCACATGACCCTTCATCTCGGTTGCTTTCCGCTTCCCTGCTAAAAGCTTAACCTTTAGTGGTTTAATATGGAAAACCCACTAGTTGGCAAAAAGTTGAAGTGCTAACATCCAAGCAAAATTCACTAAAGTTATGGTCCTTAATGGCCCCTGACAGTCACTAGGCCCAAGGGTACCAACTTTTTTCTTTTTGTCTGTTTTAGTGGGGAAACCCTCCCAACCAAAAAAGGGGAGAAGGGCACTGGGGGGACCTAGTGACCCTTTATGGTCCTTCATGGCCCCTGACGGTCACTGGGCAAAAATGGCCCCCCTTTGCTCTGGCAAACAAAACTCGGATGCCCAGTGGCCATGGGAAAAATTGGTTCCGCCACATTGCTCAAGACCCCACCCCCCAATTGGAGTGAGTGGAGCCTCTTGTGACTGCCTATTTTTACTCACGCATGCTGACCACATGGTGCCCAACTGTTCCTTTTTTTGGGGAAGAGTTCCCCTTTCAACTCAACCAACATGGTCCTGCCTATTGGATTTCATTCATACTTTGCCCCTCCCCTTAGCGGGACGCTGATTTTTGGCTTCGGCCGGGATGCCTACCCAAAAAAGAGGGTGCAACAAGTTGAAAAAAACGGCACCACTCATAGGACTCATAGGTGTCCTTTTTAGGTGTGGTTTAAATGAATTTTGTTCCATTTACCAGGGCCATCTATTTTTCCCAAACGCAACCTATGGCAGCACTGGGCACCACCGGAAAACAAACAAGAACAACAAAAACAGCACGTGCTAAGCGCACAGCTTTCCCGAATATTCGTCCGATACCAAAAAAACAGCCAGGGGGAAAGCTAAGAGCCCCTGCTGGATCTATCTAACATGGGTGGGGGGGGGGGGGTTTTCCCCCCCCCCCCCCTTTTTTTCCTTCTTTTCGGGGATGCTCAAAATTGTGGTTTTGGTTTTGTTTTTGGTTTATTTAAGCCAACAACCATGTGGCTGCCCTCCAAAAAACGACAGCCCCAACCTTGAAACAGGATCCTCTGCAAGAACCTGAAGGCTTGGTTCAGTAGAGCGGATGCGTACAATGGGTATCTTGTTGGCTGCCTTGGTTTTGGGAAACCAAAGATGACGCCAAAACCGATTCTCGCTTGCTTTCTGCTCCCCTGCTAAAAGTTTTTAATTTTTAGTGGTTTAATGGAAAACCCATTAGTTGGCAAAAAGTTAGTCCTAACATCCCTTGGCAAAATGCACCAAAGGATTTTGTTTTGGGCTTCCCACATTTGAGAACCCCCCTCTGAACCCATATTTCAGCGACCTGAAAAAGGGGTCCCCTATCTGGCCACCAACCGACCCCCCCATCGAAACCTTGTGACGTCCCAACGAACGGAAGCTTCCAGGACTATCACACCCTGGTGGGCATGGTGTTCCCTGGTTGAGGAGGGGCAATTTGGAGACCCCGTCACCCATGTGCCGGATGCACCTAGGCAAAAAAATGCAAGGCCATTTGCTTCCAGACCGCCGGTCCTCCCGTTTCGTTGATTGCAAGGAAGTTGGCGGTTGCCTTTGGGCTTTCCTCTAAGACAACCAAAAATGGCCTCAAATTCACCTAGGTCCAGATTCGAGAGGTTCGAACAAGTTGGTGCCAACTTTCTTCTTTTTGTCTATTTTAGGAGGGGAACCCTCCCAACTAAAAAAGTTGGTGAGAAAGGGCACCTAGCTGGGGGACCTAGTCACAAACCCATCCTAAGGAAGACTTTCCCTGGTTTTTCGCGACCGTCAAACCTGAGCGGAACGGCGAAAGCGAGTCGCGAGCGAGCGAAGGCGAAAGCCGCGTCCGTGAGCTGTGTGCGCCCGAGGTTGATGGACTGCCGGTAGACGTGCACTGGATGATGCCGGGGCTGGCGACTCCTCCCGGCGAAAGGCATGGCGAAAGCTGGTTGGCTGTTTGTTCCTGTTTTCTTTCTTTCTTTGTTTTTTTCTTTCTTTCTTTTCTTCTTCATGTTTTTCCTTTTTTTTGTGGGGCGGGGGGGGCGGGCGGCTTCCTTTGGGAGGTTTCCTGTTGCAACTTCGACAAGTCCACCACGGGAAACATTTGGGCAAACTCTCAAACCAGACATAAGGAAGAACCCCATAAGGGCCTCCCTTCAGGTGGGAGTGCCCCAATTCTCTTAATTAAGAGAACGGTGACGAGCGAGAAAATCGGGCAACAGCCGATCCGATGTCCCCCAAACCCTGCAGCCATTGCCGTTTCGAACCCCGAGGTTGCCAGGCCTCAGGGTACCTGGAGACGAAAGCCAGGACCTTGAGACGAAACCTGAAATTCTGAAAGGCGAAGTGGAATCACCCACCGCCGGCAAAATCCTCAAGAGAGCTTGGACCCTTGGCCAAAACATGGAGAGGCCACAAGTCAGCTTCGTCCTCCAGTAGAGAGGTTAGAATAAGGGTACCAACTTTTTCTGTAGTCTATTTTAGTAGGGGAACCCTCCCCCAACGAAGGGGAGAGAAGGGCACTACTGAGGGACCTAGAAGGGGTGAATAAGGGACCCTTGAGGGTCCAAGGACGAACGACCGCAACCCAGCCTGCAAACGCCACAGACATCTGGCACCGCTTGGCGATAGAAGCCCCTGGGACGGCGTTCGTCTTGGAGTTGGTCCACAGGGAAAGCAACAGGAAGACCACCATTTTGGCGACACACCCAGAAGGAAATATTTAAAGTAGTGATAGATTCCCTTGAAAAAACCAGCACGAGAAAGGGTCATCGTTTTGAACATTCGGGGTTGTCAAAGTCGGTTTTTTTTTCACTTTCCTTGAAGACTTTTATACCTCTAATTGGACCACATCCTGGAAGTAGGCAGGAAGGGTTGCCCAAAAGGAAATCAGTCTCCCCACGCTGTCAGCTTTGATTGGAGGCTCGTTCTGAAGCAGGGTCTGCATTCTGAAGGTTCTGAAGGCCCTATGCGCTTGGAAGGCAAACCAAAAAGGGAAGCCACCCATTTTGGGACCCCGTGGTTTGGGGCATTCCGGCCGGGTTCCCAGGCTGGGAAAATACCACCGTAACCCGCCTATTCAATCATCGGCCGTTCCAGAAAACCGCCGAAAGCCAAAGGAAAACGGATGATGTTGGAGACGAGTGCTGTTTAAAACTAGTTACTGGGGAATCTGGGGACTATTTTGTCGCTATAGGGGTATATTAGCCGTTTGCTTTGCGACCATTACATACGTACCAGTCGTCACGAGCAGGGCGCAGTGAACCAACAATCCAACAAATGAAGACGACCAGCCATGCTGGCTAAAACCTCTGCGACTTCCCCAATAAACTTATTCTTGAGCAATGTAGCAAGGAGTCCCTAAAAAATATCGACAGGTTGCCAACCCTCCGCAAAATGGAGTTGCGTTTTGAGTGTCAGGGAATCTACAAGTCCCACCGGTGAATTCCGGATGGGCACATCTTGTCTCAAAGAAGTACCGCCACTGTTAGGGAAATGTAGTCACTGGAGCAAGAAACCAAAAGGTGATGTGTACAGCCAACGTTTCCAGGAGAAATATGGGCGTCTCTTGTTTTGAGCGTACCCTTGCAAGGCTTAAACCACTTCTTTTAGGGGTTCAACTCCAAAAACGACGAAACCCATGCGTCTGTCTTTGTTTTGGACCCCCTCCCGCTTTGGTTTGGTTTTCCCGGTTTGGTTTTCCTCCCCCCCCCCCCAAAAGAAAAATCAGTCTCTATTGGCTTCCCCTGAAAACCACAGACATGGCGCACCTCGCCCGGATCCGATCTGCATCCCTTCCATTTGCTTAAGCCCCCTGGAAAAAACAAGTCAAAAAACATGTCCAGTAGTGATCGATCCATTTTCTCTTTTTCTTTAAACATATTCTTGAACAAATGGAAGATTCTGCAAACCAGAATCTCAAACATATTCCTTCTACCAGATGCTTAGACAAATGGCTCCTGGGCTCTCCGGCCACTCCACGTTGTAGACCTCCAGCGCCGCATGGAAGGCGCCCAAGGTCTGCACCTCAGGGATCCGGATGCAGTGAATGCACCCCGCCAGGTTTTTCAAATGGCGGCAAAATGGTTTGATCTTTTAAGGAGCCCTGCTCTGGTCGGTGGTTTGGGCGGTTGGGTGATTCTCCTAGGTCCTCCAGAGAGGTTCGAATAAGGGTTTTCC